AACAAATCTCCTCCTATTCATGGACATTGATTGAGATGGTTTTCTTCCCTTGTCTTCAAAATTAGAATCAATAAGAATTGTAGATCCTTGGGTAGCTATTTTTGTACATTCAAATAAAGATTTTTTTATAGAAAGCAGTCATAGAAATAGAACTTCTGGGTCAAGGGGCTTCGAGTTTTCATTTTCATGGGTTTTGTCGGTTTTTATGAGTTTGGGAGCACCATGATTAGATTGATGGTGTGGAAATGGATTGGAAGCAGCAAGGATGAGGGAGGGAATTGAAGCTCTTATCTCAGCCACTGGGATGTGACTCAGAGGAATGACGAGGTGTATGAGCTATTTAAGAAACAAAACCGAAAGGATTTGACAGCCAACTGAATGCAAGTCATCAACAAATCTGGAGAAAGGTTCAAGTGTGAGGTTTTGCATTGAAAATAATCTAAAGTTGGCTCAAAGGAGATTTGGTTCCAGACTGGCCATTCCCAAATTTTCATCAATGGGAAACTTATTTAGCAATTATTTTCATATTTTGATCTATGTTGTGTAACAAACTTTATTTTATATTTTGTTTCCATAATATCATCAACTTTAGTTTTGTGAATTAATATAATTTCAACGAAGGTATCTTAAAACACCTGCTCAGCCTTATTCTAAATAATTATGTGGAGATATAATACACTTTATGAAAATAATGCAAGGAATCCCATTAACAATTTAATGGACCCCAAATTTGGAAACTTGTGCTGTAGAAATCATGTGTCCTTCGTAATTGTCTTAGATTTATTCTACTGACATTGGAAATAGAATTTGACCCTGCGCAATATTGATGTGATAATTAGATATACTAGAAAGAGGGTCAGCTATTAGTCGTGTCATTTTAAAGAAATATAAAACTAAAACTAGAGACGCTAAATTTCAATCAGATTTGCCTCTCAGACCTACAGAATCTGAGTATATGGCTTTCCTCTCCTTCCAACCCATCCTTTATAAGTATATGCCCTTTCGTTAAATCATAAGCGATTCCAATAAGAAAATTTGTTTCCCCTTGAAATGAATGCATCCAGTGAATAACTGGTTTCCTATCAACATCAAAGAATATAGATTTGCATTCATTGGACTGATGTTCATTTTTATACCTCTTCTCTAATCCTCATCACACAGATTTCTTTTTGGGCTCATTTACATGTCCTAAAGTAAATTCTATCTATTCTCATTAAAGAATTTTTATTTAAACATTTCTTCTTTGCTTTCACTCCATTAAATTAAATATGTGCATGCGCGCACACACACAGGAGGGAGGTGTTCCTATATTGCAAATCCTCATGCTACTCTATGCATACATATATATATGTGTGTATGTATAGTTAATAATAATTAAGAGTCTTAACTGCATCTCTGAAAGAGTTCTATATACGTATATGTATATATAAAGTCATAGATATAGAACTTCTGGATCAGAGTTGCAGAAATAAGAAAAATATATAGAATTATACATGTATCTGTGTATATCCTTATATAGAGTTCTTTTAGAAATGCAGGTGAGATTCTAAATTAATTCTACCAATTAGAGGTGAATACACACACTAAAAATACAAAAGCATTTTTCTATGTTCACTTAGTAATTATCTCATGGTTAATGGGCACACAGAAAACACCTACTCTGCTTATGTAATGAATTATCTCCTAAAAGAAAAGGGATTGTGGCTTTAAAGTCATATTACAAATGATCAAAAGGGCAAGCCCACCTGACCCCATTGAGTTTCTTAGCATTGATTTGCAGTGTGTGGAGAGCCACGTGATCTGGAATCATTCTCCTAAACCCTGTGGTGCAACTCAAAAGAACAAGAAAACTTTAAATTATGATTACCTATCACGAAAACCTGAAACGTTCTATTCTAGGGCAATCTTAAGACCAAATACAATGCTCATTTTTACAAGATATGCATTTCATTCAACGTGCAGGGGGAAATGTGATTTCTGTCTTTTACGCATCCTTTCCATGAACTACATTTTAAAATAATCACACAACAACTGAGCCTATATTCTGTGTGTATATACAATTTTTTGTTCCTTCCAGTGCGTTGAATGAAACTGGGCATCAATCTAGTCATTAATATGTCTGAATTCAAATGGTCTCTTTTGTATCTCTCTTCATCACTCAATTGTTGGGGAGAGAGGTTACTGATTTATAAGCTTCATTTCAGAGATGGTAAATCTCAAAAACCAAATGTTTCATCAGCTGAAATGCTTCCAGGGTTTGGAGCCGAGAGTGCTTGTCAATGAAAGGAACTATTTGTTTAAAATCTCTGGTTTTAGCCAGTCAAGGGGCCTCTTCCATTAATTCACCTAGAGCGTGTATGGAAATTTACATCCTCCACTGGGAACAGACTTCTAAAGAGGTTTCTCTTAGAACTCGTCTTTGGTAGGGTGTGGGGCTGCTTCCAAATAGATTGGCTACTACCATTTTGTTGTTCATGGGATTCCATGCCAGTAAACCTACACACACATCATATGTCTGGATTATTTCAAATGCCGTATTTGACAATCAGAATAGGAAAGAAATGTGCTCTGGTAGAGAAAATAAAACTGCTTACATTCACTCTGTACCTGCAACGGAAACTCTGCCCACTTGATCATTTAGATTAAAAGTGGAGAAAAAACAATCCCTGGATGTTGCAGTAAATGAAGATTCCGTGGCAGAAACTATGGAAACACCAGCTTCAAAAAAACCACGTTCATTTGCTAAACTTCAGAGATGCATGGAGAGCTGTTTTCCTCAGGACTTTTGGAAGGAATTCAGAATCGCAAAGATCAAACCTTTCAATAGGATGCTCTTAGAAGAACTAAGATTTGCAGGATACGGAATATTAATTAGCCTCCTGTTTGAGAGGTTACAGCAGTCACGTTTTGCTAGGGAGGGAGGGATTCTGATTTAATAAAGGCTAGTGATTTACCGTATGTCGCAAATCCTCACGCTCGTCATTCTGAGAGAGTCGAGAGAGGCAGAGAGGCGGAAGGAGGAGGGATGTGTTAAAAACAGAACAGTTTTGCCAGAAAATTACTGAAGGCTTTAGGAATTAATCACCTCTCTCCTTAATGGGGAAAGAGAGGCTTGTCTTATGGTTATTATACGGCACCCAAACTGCCATTATCAACCCCTTTCAGACATAAAACCGCATGAAAGAGGCTTTTCTCCCAAGCAAAGCACGATTCATTTTATGAGAAACTGTGTAAAAGGTTTAGTGATGAATGTTGGAGCCACAGAACACTCGCTGGCATGAAACACTAATTAGTAATTGCTAATTAAATAAGGGAGGGGTTGGTAACGTCTGAACATTCCCACTAATCATCTACTCTCAGCTCAATCCCTAGGAACTTGAGAGAGGGCTGGATCTGAGGGATGTGCCATAAATGTACAACCTGGTGGTTGTCATCTTGCATCTATTTGTAGGTCCAGGGGATTGTGAGTCCCGATTATTGTAATTTTAGAACAAAAAGCCCCTTCCTGCTGCTTTCCTTCGAATCAGGCCATTCATTTCTGATCCCCTCCTGGCTCACATAGTGCATTTTCCACAGGTGCCCGGGAAAGCTTAGGGAAGGAAGGCTGGCTCCCTTGGTTGGCAGAGGGCTTCATCCTTTACTGATTATGTTTTAGGTTTTAGAAGCTGGCACTCAAGAGCTTCTTGGCATGCTGTCAGCTTTCTTTAGGGATGTATTTGGAGGAGCTGGTTCTGATTTATGCTATTTCAGGGCCCAGATCAGTCCATCTTCATGTATATACTGCAGCAGGCGGCCCTAGGACCTTAATAAGCATTAATTTAAACGAGTGAGTCGCATGGCCCTGAGAATAAAGAAATGGTACAGAAAGAGAAATTATCGTAATCGGGTAGTTTGCACAGGGGCAAATAAGAATGTGAAATGATAAAAACTTTTTCTGACTTTTTTTTTTTCTTCAAAAGGCTTATCCAAGATGGATTTGGACATAAAGTCGGATTAAAGTGTGTGCAATGATTTAAACTTGGAGGATGCTTTAGAAAATATTTATAGTTTTGGAGCTGAATAGGAGAGAGTGTGTCTCTCTAACAAAATGACTGCAAGCATCAGAGGAAAGCAATGTTTCCAGGTCAAGATCTTTCTTCAATGTGAGAGGAACTGGGAAGGAAATAAATATCTAAAATGGATCACTCTGCTACAATAAATACCTCATGTAGCTTTTAAGGCAGAATTAAAAATTTGATGCCTTGAGTGAAATCTAGTTCCTCAATTTACAGAATCCTCCTTTTTAAAATCAAGTGTACCAGCTCGTGCTATTTTGGGGACAGTTAGGGAGATTTGAATATGCATTGGCTTTTAAATGAGATTGAAGAACTATAAGTTTTTGTATGTAACTACAATTTTTTTCTGTATAGGAAAATATACTAAATATAGCATACTAAACTATTAAAGAGTGAGATCTTATGATATCTGTAGTTTACTTTGAAACTTAAGCATTAAAAGGAGTTAAAATATTAATAATGAATTCAATGGGAAAAATCTACTTTTGTATACGTACACACACTCTTACACACAGATACCAACACACAAATCCTCACCTCCCACATACACACATACACTTTTTATCCAAAAACCTTCTTTTAGGAATCTTTTGTATTTTTCAAAGGAAAATGGACATATGCACAGGAATGATAACTTGAATCTAGTGAAATTCATAGTTTCTGATATTGTCACGTGTTTTAAATATTTCAGATTCATTTTGCCTTATAGGTTAGCCGGTATGTACCCACAGATGAGACATTTTATCATGGTGTCAACAAAAACAATAACCGTTATAACTGTTGTTTACATAATCCTTTCTGCCAAGAAATTGTTCTACGATGTTGCTTCTCATTTATAGGAAGAAAAGAATGAACAGGGTCAACCGTGAGATATCTTTTCAAATAGCAACAATGTTTACGTGCTTTTTATAGTTGACCACCTAAAATACCCTGTGTTCTCTTGTAGGGTTTTTAAGTACTGGTGACCAGGCGGCCAAAGGCAACTATGGGCTCCTGGATCAGATCCAAGCACTGCGGTGGATTGAGGAGAACGTTGGCGCCTTTGGTGGTGATCCCAAGAGGGTGACCATCTTCGGCTCAGGCGCGGGAGCCTCTTGTGTCAGTCTCTTGACCTTGTCCCACTATTCAGAAGGTAATAAAGGCAGTCTCATGGAGGGCAGGCGACCCCCAGGACTGAGGAATGAGCACACGCAAAAAGTTCATATCCAAGGTGCAAGATGAAGTTGCCATAAGTCTCTTAGAAATCTCCATGCAAAATCCCCCAAATGACATATATCTACATTCTCTTCTTTTAACTTGGCTTTCTTTCCATTTTTTTATAATTGAGGTATAGTTGACCTGTAACATATTAGTTTCAGGTGTACCACATAATGATTCAATATTTGTATATGTTGAGAAATGATCGCCACAATAATTTAACATCCCTCACCACACATAGTTACAAAGCTTTTTTTTCTTGTGATGAGAACTTTTAAGATCTACTCTCTTAGCAACTTTCAGTTATACAGTACAGTATTATTATTATTATTATTTTTGTGTGTGGAAGATCGACCCTGAGCTAACATCTGCCAACCCTCCTCTTTTTGCTGAGGAAGACTGGCCCTGGGCTAACATCCATGCCCATCTTCCTCCACTTTATATGGGACACCGCCACAGCATGGCTTGCCAAGCGGTGCATTGGCATGCGCCTGGGCTCCGAACCAGTGAACCCCAGGTTGCCGCAGCGTAACACATGCACTTACCTGCTTGTGCCACCGGGCCGGCCCCCTGAGGTTTTTACCTAGGGGCTAACTCAAGGCAATTACCTCTTATGCAGTGGGGATGGACGTTCCAAGCAATGTCAGAGGAGAGATTGAAAAGAGAAATCAATTGGGATTGGATGCAGTTGGTTCTGGAAACATGGTAATAACGTCTTAGCTCTCCCTGCAAAGTAAGACACAGGAAAACCCAGCCCTGGGATACCTTGGCAAGTGCAAATGATTATTCGTAATAAGAATCTAAATCGTCAAGGTTGTGTTGTATTTCCTTCTGTGTCATTGGTTGGTTTCAGAATTGCACCATACCTATTTGAACCATTTACATCAAAAGTACTTGAAACTTCAAAGGAATTATTTTTTATTTAAAGAATCTTGCAAAAGGGGTCAAAAGGTAACAAAATTAAAAAAAAATAAAAACAAATAAAATTGTGTAGAATTCTAATAAAATAAAAATCAAAGAACTGTAGCACTGAAAGGGACCTTGAAGCTCATGTACTCCAAAACTGTCATTTATAGAAAAGGAAATTGAGGCTCAGAGACATCGCATGACCTTCCTAAGGTCACACAGCAAGTGATAGAGCCAAGAAAGAAACCAGACTTCCCAGACCCAGATTCAAACATATTCCCATTATTCTTCTTTAGCTATTAAAAATTAGGGAAGAGTGGAGGGTAGTCTTGATCTTCTAGGTAGAATAAACTTTCACTTAGGGATTCATGAATATCTGTGAATTGAGAAACTATTAGGAAATTCCTGATTGCCTGTCACATTTGGTATTTCACGTACCAACTGCTTTTCCACTTTCAACCTGTATTGTTGTGCTTCAAATTTCCCCTGAGGGTATTCAACAGGCCTTAGGAAATAAAAATGTTCAACTGGAGTAGAAATTTTACTAGTCCTAGGCATCAATTTGACAAGTAGATTTTCAGCTTAGTAATGAGATTCACAACTCACATTTCAATAGGATGCTTGGTGCAGGAAACAGACAATCAACCATCAGTCAAATCAGGGGTGACAAGGCTGTAGATTATTTCATAAGGCGAAGGAGAGGTGGAATTAAAGGCTAATATTTGTACTAACCCTTTATTTTAAAAAAAGGAAAATGTGAATAATTAGTTAAATCATTGGTAATATCCATTCTTATAGCATTTTAGAAAATACTTAAACTTTCACGTTTCTCAATTGATACAGTCATAGTTCTAGATTTAGAAAGTAGTCAGGACCAAATTCAGTAGTAACCAAACACATATGAGCCAAAACTATTTGGAGGAAGGGTATTAATTACTTAAATCAACAGATTGGAAATGATTCTATTCTATGACAATTCCTTGCCTCGGTCATTTCTGCAAAGCAGCTTTTGAAAAACAAGCCAGCAATAGAATCAAGAATTACAAAAATATCTAGACAGTTGGGCTTAGGAATTCCACTTCTAGCAATATAGTCAACCAAATCAATATACACATGGGAAAAGATGTTTTCATGAAGATGATCGCCACTGTATTCTCATAGCAAAGAATGAAATGAAAAGCTAAAAGATTAAAAAGACAAGAAAGTTTTCAAGAATATGTGCATTTATTCAAAAGAACAATAACTAGTTTTAAGAATCATGCTTCAGATATACAATAGCCTGGAAAACACAAAGTAAAAACTATGAATATATTTAACACACTTATGCATAACAGACCAATGCAGTGGGGGAGAATAGCCAAGAGGAATTATGCTAAAATGTTAATGTAACTAGTATTTTCTAGTATGAATTTTAGGTGATTTTTTTTCTTTATCCAATTCTTCAAGTTTTAGCAGGGGTTATATTACTTCCCTAACATACAAGTATATATACACTGCTAACTCAATCATGGCCAATAGTTGTGAGAGGAAAAAGCAAGTAACCTCTAGCAGCGTTTTCCTAATTCTGATTGTTTTAACTTATGAATGTCTTCAAGAGATCAAATATTGACATCATTTCTTTAAGGTGCTCTAAAACAGTAATCTTTAAAGTTAAACACACAAGCCAATACTTGCACATTTTGGACAGAATTATAGACGCTGGGAAATTGGCCCCCAAATGACTTTGATGATGTATCAGGCAAAGCCAGATCAATTTAAAGTCTCAGCCTTGCGTGTCATCTTTGGGCAATCCTCCAAACTTTAGAATCGCATCTTCCTGATTGCAATCATTTTTTCCTTATACTCGATTGCTTGTATGACCTTAAAAATCGACAGGGCGTGAACTTCTGGACTCCCAGCTAAATGCTTTATTCTTCCAGCAACTCATGAGACGTCAGAGCTAGATCGTGCTGGAATTCAAGGAAAGGGCAGGAACAGATAAGAAATTGAAGGCTGTGATTTTATAGTCCATCATCTCTTGTCCTATAGTAGTTAAAAATAGAGTTTTCTTTTGTTTTTTTACTTTGAGACATTCATGTGGTAGACTGACCTGATGGAAAATTTTAAGCTACACAGAATTTTAGTCCTCAAATTTTACTCTTCAAAATTGCTCAAGATTTTTCAAGTTTCTCACCAAACAGATGTTTTTAAAATGTGGCAGAATAAATTAGACAAAAATCTGGGCTTTGAATGGGTGAAATTTTGAAATTAAGGATTTTTTGAAAAATACATTTTAGTTGGGCATTCCAGTGAGGATTTCTTTAGGAATAGCTAATTTAATTTAAAATTGTAATGCTTCCAATATATTGAGGGTGGAAATAGAAATACATCCCTGAATTTGTACTCTGAAATTGATTTCAGTGGGTTTTTTTTCCTCGTTATGAAGTGGTACCTGCTTTTGCCAGTGAAACAAAATGTCTTTTGACTTCTTATTGCCACAAAGCATATTTTTATGGAATGGGAGATCTGATTGCTCTGAGAGGCTTTATTTATAGCATCTGGGGATGAAGAAGCCAACACTACACTAAATTGTGGAAGGATAAAGAGATTACATATTTTTACCACAGCGAAAGTGTAAATGTAGTTTCATTTTCTTAAACAGCATTTGTGTGTGTGTGTGTGTAAGAACATCCCATAAAACCAATGTCCAGTGGGAGCAGGGGTAGGGAAAATGGGATGGAAATGAGTGAAAGAGATCCTGAAAAAGCTGAATGCCACTGTATCCCGAAATTCACATGCTGGAGAGACAATCAGAGCCTTCTTTGCTAAGTAAAGGCTGCTTTTCTATCTTTTGGGTTTTCATTTGCATGTCCACAATTTTGCACCTGCAGGTCTGTTCCAGAAGGCGATCATCCAGAGCGGGACCGCCCTGTCCAGCTGGGCAGTGAACTACCAGCCTGCCAAGTACACTCGGATATTGGCAGATAAAGTCGGCTGCAACATGCTGGATACCACGGACGTGGTAGAATGCCTTCGGAATAAGAACTACAAAGAGCTTATTCAGCAGACAATCACCCCGGCCACATATCACATTTCCTTCGGTCCTGTCATCGACGGGGATGTTATCCCAGATGACCCTCAGATCCTCATGGAGCAGGGGGAGTTCCTTAATTATGACATCATGCTTGGTGTCAACCAAGGGGAAGGCTTAAAGTTTGTTGACGGCATAGTGGACAATGAAGATGGCGTGACGCCCAACGACTTTGACTTCTCCGTGTCCAACTTTGTGGACAACCTTTATGGCTATCCGGAGGGGAAAGACACCTTGCGGGAGACCATTAAATTCATGTACACGGACTGGGCAGATAAGGAAAACCCGGAAACTCGACGGAAAACCCTGGTAGCTCTCTTTACAGACCACCAGTGGGTGGCCCCCGCTGTGGCCACAGCTGACCTGCACGCCCAGTATGGCTCTCCAACATATTTCTACGCCTTCTACCACCACTGCCAAAGCGAAATGAAGCCCAGCTGGGCAGACTCAGCCCACGGCGACGAAGTACCCTATGTGTTTGGGATCCCCATGATTGGCCCTACTGAACTCTTCAGCTGTAACTTCTCCAAGAATGATGTCATGCTCAGCGCAGTGGTCATGACGTACTGGACAAATTTCGCCAAAACTGGGTATGTTCTTCTCCACCTCAGGTTATCGCCCTACTTCTAGCTTGATGGTTCCTCTGTGTAAGTGCTGTTTCCATGACACAATAGACCACGGTACACAGGCATGCACACACATGCACGCACAATAGCAGTCATTTTTCCCCAACATCTGTGGGGCCCTCGTTTTTTCTTTACCCCTAAATTGTTTTCTGTCAAACCAGATTTTTACTAGAATGCTGGTTGCATATTGAAAATTCTATGTTTCCTATCTGCTGGGGCAGAATTTAGACATATTTGGCAATTCTATTGAAAGATGATCCCAGAGTTTCAAATCTAAATAGGACCTAACCTCATTTGGTAAATAATAGGGTTATCAAAACACATGTGGCACATGGCAAATTGTATTTATTGTGTAGCCACAGGAATGAAATAAATCTCACAATACCTATGAAGAAATAATATGTGTGTATGTATATACATAATATGTATATATATATCTGTATGCCTATACTCACATAATATTTCTCTATAGTTATGAGATTTATTTCATATATATACATGTATTTACAAATATATTTATTCACTTATATATCATTTATACATATTTCTTTCATAAATCAATATAAATTTCTTATATGTATCTATATAGAGAGATATAACATCTATATGTAGATAGATATCTCATATCTATCCATATCTATCTATCTATACATATCTCTGTTATATCTCATATCTATGGATAGATATCTCATATCTATCTATCTATCTATCTATCTATCTATCTATCTGTCCATTATATAGATATATCTAAAGAAAGCTCATTGGTTAGATCTCGTAGAAAATATACAAGAGCTACACGTACAACAGGGTCCACCAATATTCTACTGAGCAGATTCTCTGCAAACAATGAGAGAAAAGACCCCCCAACATCTTAAACAGCTACAAATATCTTGGCACCTTTTAATTTTCTCTTGTCTAATAACATAATTGTGGAAATTAATGAGGTATCATTCTGTTCTACCTGTGTGTGCTTCTGCATTAACCTTGAGCCTCTTGTACTGAATTAAAAATGAAGATGCTCACTGCTCTGGCTCCGAGGGGTGGTAAATCTTCCCACGGATGCCCGATGGCAGCCTTAGGTTCCCCCACTGCAGCAGCCCTGCAGTGCCCAAGCCTTATGAAGCTCTATTGAGAGGATGGGAGATGAGGAAGGTTCCCATGCATAGGGCTTTAGCAGATACCATCCTTTACAATGATTCCAAATATTCTGTGGTAGGAAACGGTTTCAGAATGTTTTGTCATCTTGGCAAAAGTATGGCATGTTTATTGAGTGGAAAACATGTTGCATGGATACCTGCTTTGAACCGTCAGATTTTACAAATTTGGTCTAAGAAAGGCTTTCACGGGGGCAGTGGGGAAGAGAGAAGGTACAACCATTTGGAAGAGATGCTTGCCTCACCAATAGGTTCTGTCTTTGACAAGGAAATGATTGAAGTCAAGTCAACAAGTATTTTTAGATAAACCTTGTTTATTAGATTCTTAAAACTGCTATAACAAAGAGCCAAAGATGGTGTGGCTTAAAACAACAGAAATTGATTGTTTCCCAGTTCTGGATGCTGGAAGTTCACAATGAAGGTTTCGGCAGGGCTGAGCTCCTTCTAAAACCTGTAGGGGAATATTTCCATGAGTCTTAGCTTTTGGAGGTTTGCTGGCACTCTTTGCTGTTGCTTGACTTGCAGCTACATTACTCCAGTCTTGGCCTGTGTCATCACATGGCAGTCTCTCTCTGTGTCTATCTTTAGGTGGTCATCTTCTTATAAGGGCGCTGGTCATATCGGTTTAGAATTCCATCCTACGCCAGTATGACCTCATCGCATCTTGACTAATTACGTCTGCAAAGAGCCTATTTCCAGTAAGGTCACATTCTGAGGTACTGGGGGTTAGGACTTCAGCATGTCTTAATTAGAGAGGGGAGCAGTTCAACTCATAACACCTTTTAAAGGCAAGACCACGCCCAGTTGTGTCATAGAACTCAGATATGTGATGTCCGCCCTCGCAAAGTACTGCATTCTCTAGAAGCAGAAATGAATGGGCATTCCCCAAACCATGGCTCTGCCCATTCTCTCTTCACTACATTGCCATCCAAACGTATCATTCTTTGTGTAATAATGAAACACGCAGTCATGACTCATGACTTACTTTTGTTAAAACCACATATTCTTTTTTCCCTTACATGTTTTGGAAATAAACTTTATATGATATTCTTAAATGGAAAGCTAGTATCATTCACAATCAGTTTAACTCAACCATTAAAAAACCCCTGAAATCCAAATAAAGCCATTAGATTCTCGTTAGCTCTTCTCGCCTGCCAAAGGCTCTGACGCTGATGCTCTCTCATTGTTTAAAAAAAGAGGAAAAGATAGAGGAAATTAATTAATGTCATGAGATAGTAAAGAACTGCTAGCACCAAATGGACACCTTCACGAGGACCTATCCAAGACTGAGCCAGGGATGAAAATACCACCATGTTCTGTTATTGAGTGCTTTTTAATGCCCTAACTCTGTTTCCTAATATCACTTTGCCTAGAGGCCGTGGTTCATGCCCCTCGCTTGGGGAACATAGATGTGGCTATGTCAAATAGCCTGATATTAATCACTGGCCAAATATATTCATGTGGCCATTAGTGGTATGTGTTTAGGGTGTATTTGGCTTTCATAAAGATGTTAAAGTAGCTGGAACAGATGGGGAAGGAGAAAGGACTTCAATTTGGAGGAATAGTTCTCATCTCACCAGAAACCAAATCTTCAGGTAGAGATCTCACTGAGGGAACAGGATACACATGAGGGAGGGCCTTGGATGTCGGTCTGAAGAATCTGGACTTTATGCAAACAGGAGCTATTTTTATTCCTGCAGTCTGTGTGGAGCAGAGCTGAAATCATACTTAGGGATATCAACGCAGTGAGTTTTCTTAATTCATTTGGAAGGTCATTGGAATGACCCAAGTCATCCTTAAAGAAAGATACTCAGAACTTCTTCTTGTGTCCAATGCAAGGTGCAATTTCAAATGTAAGGAAATAGGGGAAAACATTTCAATGGCAGCTGGTTTAACAAGAAAACAGGAAATCTAGCTGATGGGTAGAGTCTAGTGATTTAGGTATTTGTCAATGGATGGCAAAAGCTTGAAAGGTAGTTGCTAGTTATTTCTTTTAAATAGCGTAGTGGCATGATCAGCCTGTGCAGAGGAGGATATCCTTGTCCCCAGGAGGCTGCTTCGTGTGGTCCAGGTGAGGAGAATGAGCCAAAATCGTGCCAGTAAGGGAACAGCGTAGGATAAATCATATCTCTTTATGTCAGGTGTGATGCTTACCTCTGTTCTCCAGAACATGTACTCAGGCCATGGCCCACAGAATATGAGGGAATACAAGTGAGTACCATCAACTGTTCCCTTAAGCACTAGAGAGACAAGAGTTTGATTATAAGAATATCTTCTCATCCATCTATCACAACACATTGCTGTGCAGACAGGATTATGTTACATCAGAACCTGCTTTATCATTTAGTGGGACTTCAAATCTACACCTCAGAAACAGCACCCTGTGTTTCTAATTGTTCGTACATTTGCCAGGTGTTCTGATAATTCTTTTCATATACCCAAAGCTAACGGTTCTGACCTTATCTTTAGGTTTAAACGTTAAGTGTCTCTGGTATGCCAACATTTTTTTGTTTTTTGTCCAGCACAGAAAAATAATATTGGGGTGTGCGTGTGGAAGGTGTGGAAGGAAGGAAGGAACGAGGGAGAGAGAGAGGGAAGGAAAGAAGGGGAGAAAGAAGGAAGGAAGGAGGGGGAAAGGAAGGAAGTGGGGAGGGAGGGAGAGAGAGAGAGAAGAGAGGGTGGGAGGGAAGGAGAAGGAAGGAAGGGAGGAAGGAAGGACAGACAAGTATTCCTTTGTAGCTAGGAGGCTCTTTCAATGATCCAGGTTAGAAGACTAAAAAAAAAACAGTGCTGGAAAAGAACAATGTAGTCCAAAACCTTAAGTACTGGGACAGAAATAAGGCTGACTTGGAGAGTTTGATAAATGAGAAATAATGTCAAGGAAAAATTAAAGCTAATTCCAAGGCTTGCAAAGGACTATAAAGAATTAAAATCAGCATCATATAAAATCTCTTTGGGAATAAGAGGCCTGATTGGTGCATAGAATTCAGATGCTCATTTATCAAACACCAATGCAATTTGATTTCTTTGTGGGAAGAAGTGCATAAAAAGGGAACAAGAGAGAAACTTGGTCTCTATAGAAGATACGGCCACAAGCAGCACTTGAAGCAATCAAATGATGCATTATATAGCAAAGGCCTTAAATGCTATTGAAAGTCAGGGATGGAGGGCTAGTTCTGTAATGGCTAGTGAAACCAACATATATTTCGATTTGTCATCTTTGTTCTCAGGACTTTGGTGTAGGTATGCTTCAGAGGCCATCTCTACTTTTGAATTTTCTGGTGTCCTATGATTAATTTATATTCAACCTTTGTGAAATCTTTGCAAAAAGCAGGAAAGAGGCACTTGGGGAGGATGGCTCAGAGAACGTTGCAGCATAAATTTGGTTTTAAAAGTGACCTTTATTGCCAAAAAAGTATTTTGAGCTGAATGAATGAACATCTGTTGCATAGCTGTCACTGAACACGTATTCTTGCTGCATAGGCTAATTTTCTTCTTAGAGGTCTGTAATGAGGAGTCAGCCACGACATCGCTTTATGTGTAAGGAGAAACATACCATCGAAAGGAGCGTATCAGAGGGGTTACTGATACATTTAAAGAACTAGTATTACCTATCTCTAGCAAACAAAATAATCCACAAGATCTCAGAAACACATTCAACTCTCTGCTGCCAAGATGGTGTCTCAAATGAAATATGAGAGGTGAAAACGTATGTGTTAGGTGTTGGGAAATATGGATGAAGATATGCATGGAGGCTTTTACTAGGGAGAGAAGATATGTCTGTTTCTTTCTATCCTTATTCATTGTAATCTTCAGTTTTACTCCTGGGAACTAAAACACACCATATGCTTAAGTGAAGTCTGAAAACAAGACGTTGATATCCCACTTAGAGATCTTACTGTCTTTGGAGTATTTGACAAGGAAAATGACGGGTTTTCATAAGCTCTGTGAGTTTATCTTGGTTTTTAGCTTCTGACTGTGCAACTCCAAGAGCTTTAATAGCTGAATTGTATCAGGCTCAACCTTACTTATCAGAATTTTCAAAATCCTCCACTCTGTTCTTTGAGAACAAAATAAATGTGTTTCTTTACCTTTCAAATATACACTGAATTCTGTCAAAAATAGCCAAATAGCCAGACGAACAGAACACTCTCTTTCCCAGATGCCTGCTCCTTAATAAAAGGTCAACACATCTAATAGGCCCAGTGCAGTGAACCCAAATCAATGGAAAAATAGTAGGAATCCTCACCACCTTTCATTTCTTTTACAGCAGTAAAAATTGATGACAAATGTTTCCATGGCAGATTCCAATTAAATAGGAATTATTCAAAAATTTATTTCAAAAGACTCAAATAAAAGAAACACGAGGTGCTATACTGAATCCAACATTTTTTAAAACATATAAAAATTTAAAAAATAATAAACGAATTATTTTTAAATATATTAATGTTTGTAAATGAACACATAAATAAGATCATTGCATGAGTACCTGTAATTTTATGTATTTTTTTCATTCTTTGAGTAAAATAAAAGCACAGCACTTAGTATGTACTCAGTTAAGAGGTAAATTTTCTTTTTCTTGTGTATCACATATATTATCTTAAGTATATGTCATATATTTGTATATCTATATGTATACAGTATATAGTATACTATATATACTGTGGTATACAGTATGCTTTTACATAGCATATACTATATACAGTGTATAATACAGTGTATGTGGTATACAGTACATTTTTATACATCATATACTATACACAGTGTATAGTACACTGTATATACTCTGGGTATATACAGTATATTACTTTATAGTCCCCTCTCCCTAAGCAATCTTCGGGTGTTCTAATTTATATATTGGCAGAAGGCGATAATATTTTTTAAGCTCTTACTATATGCTAGGAATTTTGTAGTTACTATTTAACCTTCATCACTTACTTCCAACCCCAATATTCTTATCTACTCTATAAATGAGGAAGATTAGGCCAAGACAGGCTAAAGAATTTGCTCAAGATTTCACAGCTATAAAGAGGGAAAGCTGCAGAGGTTAATCCATGGAAGTGATTTTGACAGCCTCGGATTGAGGGCTAAAGTCCTTCCTTTAGCGGATGTCGTACCTGTTGGTCAAGCATGTGGTTTGCAGCCTGCACAATGCCTGGTAATGTCTGTACACTTGAGATCTTCAAGTAGGACCTTCTGGTCCCCCAGCTTTCCGGCGTGTAAGCGAGTAGGCGTGGCTGGAGCCAGCTTCATAAAAGTGCTGACAAGGAGAGATTACCTGGAAGGTAGAAGTTGCAGCACCCAGAGCAGTAAGTTAGTGTGCTGTATCTCCCACTTGTTCTGGGTCTGCACATCAGGTCTGAATGTTCAATACTGTCCACCAGGGGAATTTTTCCATGGGTAATCTCAAATTTTTCAAAACAAATAAACATAAGATGAAATCTGTTTTACAGTTCACATTACCAACTTTACAAAAAATGGAAGAAATGAGAATATGTTATCTTTCGGTGCTTGTTTGTTATGTTAAAAGAGGTGGTTGCAAAGATATTTAAAGCACCATGTTTTGTGGATTGTCTTTTAATTTTGATGATTCTCCCTCTGCCTGTACCCACTTATGTAAATAAGAAGAAAATTGTTTGATGCCAAATACACTTAGCATCTACAAAAACCCTCAATTTCTTGCATCGTGTCTTACTTCTCCTAAACAGGTTGACTTCACCACATCTAAAAGGGCTATCTTACCAAACTTCTTAGAATTAATGGAATGTTGTTTGACCTTTACATGACTCAGTTTTCAAAAGATTTTCAAGTGTATATGTATTTCTCCTTAAAATAGAGAGCAAACAAATAACGCATATTTCTATTTATTAGCATTTTGTAATTACAAAAGCCTATTCTGATTGGACTTTTACATATATTTTAGTTGTTAAAACTGCCATATCTAATCATTGATTAGAAGCAATCTAAGCAAGGAAGAGAATACTCACTTTTTGAACAATTGCCTCTAAATCAGGATATCTCAATTTCAGTACTATGGACATTTGGACTCAATACTTCTTTGCTTGTGGGGGGCTGTCCTGTGCACTGGAGAATGTTCAGTGGTGCCCCCGGCATCTACCCATTCATAACACAACCCTCCAGTTATGACAACCAAAAACATATCCAGACGTTGCCAATTGTCCTCGTGGGGGCAAATCACCTCTGGTTGGGATTTATGGCTCAAAAGTAGTTAAACTTGAGAGACTGAAAATATTCTTAGACACATTTTGTTTTCCTTCTTCATTGTTGAAGATAATTTGATGCATTTAAAAATAATTGAAATGTTATGAAAATGCCATAGTATGGCCATCAGAAATTATTTTTAAGATAAAGGTAAGAGGAGATTTTAAGGAAGAGACAAAATGGCAGCCTTGTTTGGATTAAAGCAGAATGTATCTATTGCTACTTGGTTACTTGGTGCTCATCAACAAACGTGCGATTAATTGATCATAATTTCCCGGTTTATTTGATAAAAAGATTTACTTGTCACATGTAGAAGAATGTGACCTTCTTTCTCTTTTTTTCTTCCTTCTGTCCCCAGTGACCCTAACCAGCCAGTTCCTCAGGATACCAAGTTCATTCACACGAAACCCAATCGCTTTGAGGAAGTGGCCTGGTCCAAATATAACCCCAAAGACCAGCTCTATCTGCATATTGGCCTGAAACCCAGAGTAAGGGATCACTACCGAGCTACGAAAGTGGCTTTCTGGTTGGAACTCGTCCCTCACTTGCACAACTTGAATGAGATATTCCAGTACGTTTCGACAACCACCAAGGTCCCTCCTCCCGACATGACCTCCTTCCCCTATGGGACCCGGCGATCTCCTGCGAAGATATGGCCAACGACCAAACGCCCAGCGATCACTCCCGCTAACAATCCGAAACACTCCAAGGACCCTCACAAGACGGGGCCCGAGGACACAACCGTCCTCATCGAAACCAAACGGGATTATTCCACTGAATTAAGCGTCACCATCGCCGTGGGGGCATCCTTACTCTTCCTCAACATTTTGGCATTCGCAGCGCTGTATTACAAGAAGGATAAGAGACGCCACGAGACTCACAGGCGCCCCAGTCCCCAGAGAAATACCACCAACGACATTGCTCACATCCAGAACGAAGAGATCATGTCCCTGCAGATGAAACAGCTGGACCACGACCATGAGTGTGAGTCGCTACAGGCTCACGACACCCTGAGGCTCACCTGTCCGCCAGACTACACCCTCACGCTGCGCCGGTCCCCAGATGACATCCCTCTTATGACCCCAAATACCATTACCATGATCCCAAACACACTGACGGGAATGCAGCCTTTGCACACCTTCAATACCTTCAGTGGAGGGCAAAACAGTACCAATTTACCCCACGGACATTCAACCACCAGAGTATAGCTTTGCGGGTCCCTTCCCTTCCCTCTGTTCCTCCCCTCAGCAGCATCGAAGAGAGACAGAAAGACAGAAGCAACATCTCCACACAAGGAATGTTTTTCATCCCACCAACTTGAGACAAAAGAGCAAAAGGGCGGTCATTGCGTCCCCGGACCCGTCCCATTGGCATTTCCCGGTATGACAAGATCAACTTCTGACCCTATGAAATGTGAAAAGTATACATTGCTGTTACAATACTGCTTTAAGATCTCCACCACTCCAGCCAACGTTTAGTGTGACTAGGACATCGCCCTTTCAAGGACTTGGATGTTTCCAACATAACAATTGAAGCTGACACTTCTAGAACTCGGCCAGGGACACGATTTTTTTTTTTTTTTAATTATGATTGGAAAAAAAAAAAGTTCTTTATGTGCCATATGATGGATGGCTCTACTTAAGTGAAGAAAGAGTTTATGGGCTTTTACCCAGCATATGGAGCTGTAATCTAGAGAGAAGGCAAAGTAGAATTTTATTATTAAAATCAAAGAACTGACTATGCAGTAACATACGTATAGTTCTGTGCAAAGAGATGTTTGGCCAGCCTGAACTATATTTAAGAAACTTTGTAAAGAAAAATGTATATAGCTGTGAGTTTAAACAAAAACACACACAGAAAACAACAACAAAAAACAGACAAAAAAGCTTTTATTGGTGTTTTCAGTTTGAAAGAGCTTTTAGCAAGATTGTGTTTTCCATTGTGGTCTGTATGTATATAAGTATATATATACATTAGTCATATCACCTCTGTCTCCTCCAGGACAAAGGAGGATTTTCTTCTTAATTACTTGTGGTAAACGAAGACACGGGGTTTTCTAATGCATTTCATTTGTACGAGGACGTGGTGTCACACAGCGGACCCAGACCGTCTGTGTGGCTGGGCTCTTTTCCCTTTTCAGGTTGCACAAGTGCATGCGACAGCATTTTTAGGAGACTGTTGTTTTAGGAAACTTTTATTTTTGTGTGTTAAGCCTTCATGAAGTTGCCACACAAAGATGGATCCCCAACGTGGAGTCTATTTAAAGCTTTTTGAATTAGAGACACGCACATGCAGAGCGACAGCAGGAAAAACAAAATACAAATCTCGTTCTGTAGTTCTGGTTCTTTGAATACGTTTAGGAAGAGTTGCTTCCCACCCCAGGGTCCTGCCAAAAAGGAAAGAAAGCTTGCCTTTGGTGGGGCCGTGCCCTGCCGAGTAAATACGGCTCTGTGTTCCCCAGCAGCTGCGGAAGAGTTTGGCTGGTAAAGTACCTGCTCAGCTTAGCTAATCAGATTGAAGGAGGGCATGTGTCTTTCCTTTTGTGTTAAAGCAGTAAGTCCCTTATTTCTCAGTAGGCAGGGTTTTTTATTCTTTATACCATTTATGGGATAAAACATATGCTTGTCTGAAAATATTACTTTCTGTGGGTTTGTGTATCAGTCACTGATCAATGAATATCATAGAAAGAAAACAAAAAAGACAGAAGATTAAAAATGCTTTGCATGGGTTTTGCAGGAAGTTAGGATAGCTTCACTGTCAGGATAACATATTCACCCATTTTAAATTGGCAACTTGGAGACTAGACATTTGTCCCTCTGACACCTTGTCATCTTCTCATTGTCCTTTTAATTTTCCTCAAGGAATATTTTGAGTGTCATAAAGTGGGAGGAAAAAGTAATAACAATGATTCCTTTATATTTGTCTTTTAAAAATTATTGCAACATCAGGAAATAGTAGCCAAAGATATTTGAAGATAGTGTCTCTGGGCTTGATTGTGTTTATTCTAGAAACCCAGTCTTGAAAGTCATTGCTAAATTGGGCATCCTCCACAAAGACAGTCCAACTTCCTTGCCCCACTGCACACCTTTGAGTACTGAACCCCTAAACTAAAACTGTAGTGATATATATCAGAGTGTTTGAAAATGCCCTCCAGAGAAAGACAGCTCTTAGAAATGCATATAAGAGTCACGCAATAAATTCTGTGTGGTTTATCTTGGTTTAAATTTGAGAGTGATTCTCTGTATATACCTATGCGAAATATTAGAATCCCAACTTTGCACACAGTGAAGCAACACTCCCTTTTTGCAGCTAAAGGTGTCATGGGTAAGATTTTTGTCCCCCCGTTCATCATCTTCTAAAGCTATTGTCAGGCCATTTCTGCAAGCTATGTATTACCCCAGCTGGGCTATGGCAAATAGGCTCTCCATGAAACCACGAAGGAAGTGATGGTTGGCATCGGTGTCGGTCCAGTATGTCTGTAATGTGAATTCCAGTATTTGTTTAGTATTTCCAATTGTCTTCTGCTAGCAATATGCACAGTAATGTATCAGGCTTGTGACATTTGGATAAGGATAAAAAAAAGAGTTCTTGTTAAGTGAATAACTTTAGCTTTTACAGAGGATTATGATCAAAAGCAGTTTAATACACCTTAAAGGATATCTTATTTCTACATGGAAAGATGTTATAGAATCTTCATAGAGTTCTATGAGTATAAAATATACTTGCTATCTATAAAAAAAGAGAAAAAAGAGAAAAAAATGAGAAAAAAATAAGTAAAAAAAAAAACTTTCCTAGGCTTTTATTCTTGACCTTCAGAGGCACGCAGGGTTTAATGGTTTCTTGGGTTATTATTTTGCAATTTTGTTTTTGATTTTGCCTTAAGTAATGATAGAAGATATATATGGCTGGACACATATGTATAAACTTTTCAGCAGCATTTTTAATAATAAAATATCACAGTATTTTCTAATGCTTTGTGCAAATAATTATGCGTCCATTCTTTTTTTGTAGGTGGCCTATTTTATTTACTTTATCCTTCTTTGAATGCCTTTTTCATTTTAAAAGCAAAGTGATACATCTGACATAGGCTATAAATGGAAAACTCAATTGGTAACGGATTGGTTTCTTGGTTTATCCTGGCACACAGTTTTTGCGCCACTGCTGGGGAAGTTCTACTGGCCTGATGTTGGAGAAGTAGGTCCTGGATGGTGGAACTCAAGATAAGAAAATGTTTCCTGAAATGGAACGCTTGGATTCATTAATTCTACCACTGCTCATTCTTATGTCCTGGGTTGTGTTTGACGTAATAATGCCTTAAACTTTTTAGAGAGCTTTATCTGAATAAATCTTCAAATGAAGGCAAGAAATTCTACCGAATAAAACTCAAGGGGCAGAAAATTACTCTCTTATTAATGAGAGCTAATTTGCCGAGGCCTCACTGTGCATGCAACCATTCCTTATCTAACTTGACACTCACAGTAGCCCTAGGAAGGGCACCTGTATTACTCTTGTTTCACAACTGAAGGAGTTGAGAATCAGAAACTGTAAGCTGTGAGGAAGCAGAGCTTAGATTCAAAGCGAGATAGTGTGTCTTCAGAGCTCAAACTTCTCACCTATAACGGATATGGCAAAAATTTCTAACTCAGGCTCATGCATGTCATGATAATACTAGTTAATGATCAGATGAAAAACAGCAAATACCGTGACTGCTATATTCGAACTCTGAATCTTTTTAGATGTAGGACACAGGATATATATTATTCTTATATATTATATATGAATAATAATAAATATATTAATAATTTAATAATATATTAATATTATTTATAATTTTATTATAATATAATAAATACTCAAATATAGTTTACATACAAAATATAACAATTATATATAATTAGAAATAAATATATAAATAATATAAAATAGGTGATATAGTATTAATTTTATTATTTATATGATACATTTGTTTACATATAAAATAATACATATCATATACCTTATATTATATAATATGTAATATATATTTTCTACATTTATACACATATTTAATGTATTACATATATTAAATATATACATATATTGCATTTATTATTTATATGTGCATGTATTATTATATATGTAATACATATGTAAATATACATATATTATCTCATACATTATATTTATGTATATGTAAATATGTAAATATTTATATAAATATTTTATAAATATGTAAACAATATTTTATAAGTATATAAGTATATATAATATACATGTATATGTAATGGAATTTTTCATGGATTTAAAATTGAATCTTTAGTAAATTTTAGGTTGGGGGGAGTCACTGTTTTTTTCACGATTTTATGCATTCTTGGCCATTCTGAATAACTCGAGGATTGGTAAAAATGTATTAATTCATTCATTCATTTACTCATTCATTCACTCACTAATTCATTCAGTAAACCTTTACAAAGCATCTCCGTCATCCCAGCCCTGTGGTGGGGCTGGCATTAAAAATAAAATAAAAAGCTTTTTCCATTCTAGAACTCAAAGTGGAAGACAGGAAAGTACAGTGATGAGATTGGGAGAAGATGTTGGAGATGGTACCCAGGGTGCCAACAGGAGTCTAGACAGCCCTTAACTTCACCCAGGAGGAGAGGAGAGCATTTTGTAGGACGCTACCCCAAACCATGTGTCTCCAAATACACGGGAGTCCATGCTGATGCAACAATGGTGCTGTGTGCTCTGGGAAGACAGAACTCGCCCCTTTGAAGTGAGAAGACATGGGAAGTTTGGGCAACCGTGGCTTTTTTGTCATAGCTGGAAAAATAGAGGATGTCGTTTGGAAAGGAGTGGGGAATGATGTGTACAGCATCCAGCTGATAAAATGCCTCAAATCATGAGACACGCAGTTTGCATGTTGTCCTGAATTCAGGCGGGAGACAGTGAAAGGTTGCACAAAAGTGGTGTTTGTGGTAGTTAGAAGGGCTTATCAAGGATTACTCTTCCAAGAATGTAGGGGACATCAGGCTACAGTGTAGATTCTGATTCAGCAGAGGTTGGGTGGACGAGAGTCTCCATATTTCCAACAAGCCCTCTAAGTAATGTAGATCTTGCTGGTTCCCAACTAACCCCAAGTATTTTTGGGAGCAAGATACGAAAGTGTTCACTCCAGAAGTAGCCTTGGGGATGGTCTGAATCGGGGTCCTGGGTGCAGTGAACGTAGGTAAGTACACAGCTAGAGCAATCTGTTTGAGAAATTAATTACTATCTTCCTTTTGAGGGTGGTGGGGGATAGGAATGAGAGCAAAAAGTAAAAAAAAAAAAAATTTGCATAGTTTTATAGCTGAACGTTCCAGAACTGATAAAATGCGATGACCAAAGACGACCCTTAGCACATTTGTAGTCAAAGCCAATTTTGGCAACTTGCTGCAGCAAAGACAGGGCACACTCAGGAGCAGTGAGCCACCGGGGTGAGGAGTTCAGGTGGGATAGACAAGGGCTTGGGCTTTTTCTGGGTGGTTTTACGAGGCCTAAACAAAGCAAGAAGTTGTTCTGTATTGGTTGCTTTCTGGATAATTGGCTGTCAACAACTTTTAGCCAGAAAGTAAGAGAAAAGGAGGATGGCTAGTTATCAGTAAAGAAATTCTGGAATAAAAGAAGATGTTGGATAATTTTTAGTGGCTACAGACTGTCCTTGATTTTATCTTAACCCGTGGTATTGTGGGCGACTTTCATCTGATGTTATCTTGAATTATTTTTAGATGCACTGGGGCCCCCCATGACTTAGCCATTGATTATCAGGCTAGCTACTAGCAGTCAGATGCCAGGGCTGTTTTTACTTTCTCAGAACTTCCTTGAAATATACTCAATACCTCACGTCTTTTGGTCTGTCTGATTAGGAAAAAAAATCTAGGTTCTGCAAAGGAAGTTAACGTGACACTTTCTCTGCAGATTCTCATTATTATATTTAAGAAAATG